CAAGAGAAAAGAGAAACTTGAAAATATCCTGTTGAGCAGTCAGAAGATATCTTGTTCATCTCTGATACGTGGAGTTCTTTTTATGTCATCGTAATGTGGGATACGCGGGACTCAATGCTTCTCCCGCTTATACTCGTCAATGGAATAAAAAGCAAAAATAACCGTCCATGTAGTGCATCACAATAGCGATCAATTTTTTTATGTTGTGAGAGAAGAAGAATGATTATTACAGCAGTCGACTCTTATATGTAAACAGACATTGTATCAGAAAAAGAACAATAGTGGCGGTCAATTCGATCGGAATGAGCTAAGCGATGACTGACGGATAAGACAATGACCATAATATAATTCGGCTGACATAGAAAATGCGATGTATATACATATATAGTTATGTATGCGTATAGTTGTTCATTTTGTCTCATTTCGTTACAATTGTTAATCTTGAAAGTTATTCTTTTCTATTCGTATTTATACACGGATCTCATGTGGAGCAAAGTAAATGGCCACAGCTGTTCGACATGTTGTCGTGGTAAAAAGATACTTGTGGGATTAAAACAGTTTCTGGGCAACTTTCGAGGGGTCTTATCGGGACAGTTTCTCATTGTCCCGTCAATTTCTGTTAGTAAATGTATGCTCGAAATTTTGTTTCACTTTAGATTAGTCGTCCGAGTGAATAAGACAGCGAAAAAGAAGAATATGGCCGACAATACAAATACACTGATAACCGAATATATTGATTCATGGACGTTGAAAAATTTGAAAGATACAATGAAAGCCACAGATAAAGAGTTGACATACTTTGCTAGATTACGCAAACTTCGAGATCAGGGACGGATATCAATCTGGAATGATTATGATAATCCATCAGTGGTGATTGACGGCTTCCTCTATCATGGCGACATGTGTCATGCTAGCAACATGAACTTGCTTAAGAATCTCGGCATTCGACATATCGTGAACACCTGTGATACGCCATTGGAAACAGAAATTGCAAAGAATTTCAATGTGCTATGGATCAGTATAAACGATGATGAAGATGTCAATATCAATCAACATTTTCAACAAACGAATGACTTCTTGCTTTCGTGTAAGGAGAAGAAGGAAAAAGTATTAGTTCACTGTCAGATGGGTATTTCTCGATCATCCTCCATCGTTCTCGCCTATCTAATGAAGTAAGATTTATTTTTGTGTCCAAAATCGACTAAATATTTCATTCTAGATATCATCATGATACTTTATTGAAAGCTTATGATTATTTGCTCGATCGACGTCCTATATGTGCACCTAATTCTGGTTTTCTTATGCAACTGATTCGATACGAGAAGGCATTGCGCAATAGTGGAGCGATTGATGAACAACAAAATAATGATGACAAACAGAATCCAATCAAACCACTCGATATGCCGAGTACGTCCAACGTCAAATAGTCGTTAGTCTAGAAACGAAAAGAAAACTTTATCTATTTTTTTGTTTTCTAAAATCTTAGATAAACCATCCATCATGTTGGCGATCGCAGTATTAATAAAAACCTTTTTATTGTAATCATGATCAGCAGAAAATAAAAATCCATCTTTTAATTCAGAAAGGGTGGGTATGGATGTGGGCGTAAGATAGGTGTAGATGTCTGTTTAGGGTGTGAGTGGATGATGTGAAGAGAATACCTCACCCATACCCACACCCTACCACTATTGACCTCAACAAGAAAATTTTACTTGTTCACAAATAGGAAAAGAAAATAATATGCTCGCCATAGGTTTTCACTAATCTCACCCATCTGGATTTGGAGGGTGAATATGCCTCTATCCTTGGTAAAAAAAAATGAGTCCGCTTGGTCGAGCCGTAATGAAGATACTCAATTCTTTCTCGGTAAAGTGGCTTTTGGGCCACTCTGTAGTTAGTTAAAAAGCACTATCAAACATAATAAGTTTTAAATAGACAAAAAGAAACGCAATACAATATTCAAGTATGTTTGTCGGAGGATGGTGTGTAAGTGTGTGATGAAACGAAGAGAATCAGACACTCACGCATACCTAATCTAACAAATTACGAAAAGATGTTCCGAATAGACATAATACCTGCTATTTCAACTTGATAATTATCATTGAATGTAGGTGTAAAATTAAACTTCGCATTTATAATCTACATAATCTCTCGTATGTCGATCATATTTTCATCAGTGAAATGACCAGAATGGAATATTCATGTTTCTAGGAAAACATATGCACCCTCTTTCTAAGATACGCTTCGAGTTCCAATGATGAAAACCAAGAATTTATGTTCGGAATAATAAAAAAACATCTGTTCCTGTTCGATCATCTGCCTGGTTTTCAAATGATGAAATTCTTAAGCTCATGTTTCGGATAAACATGATTTGTATTCTTTGAGTTATATTCTAATCCTTAAGATCAATATCAATTAAAAATTCAAGCTACTAAAAAAGTCGTAAAATCTCATCTTCCCATAATAATCTCAAAATTGACATGTAGAAAATCTATAATTTCCGATCCGGACGAAAAAAAAGTGTATTCTTATTCTTAATTTATCCCGAACATTAAAATCAAGAAAATGGAACTCGAATTTAGAATGAGCAAAATACATCTACTTTCAATTATGTTTTGATCGTCCTCAACAAGAAAATAATGAATTTATATTAAGAATAAAAATTTCGCATCGAGAATGAAAACGATTTTTCTGATTTGGATTATATTTTGATCTTTGAAATGAAGAAAAACAAAAATTAGAAGTAAGTTCAAAAATTAAAAAAAACTTCCTTCACTCAATAAATATAGTTTCTTCTATGTAGAACGTATTTCAACCATTGCAACAATACAAAACCGAATTTATCACTGAGAATGATAATAATTCATCATATTTCATTCGTATTCACATCGAGGATGCAAATCATTTTCACTTATTTTAATCGCATTTTAATTAATTTTAACAATGAAAGACTGAAATTCACAATTAGAATGAAAAATGATTTCTCTTATTACGATCATCGTTCGAACAAATAAAAAATAAAGTTCGCATTAAGAATTTAATAATTTTTCTTTTTTTTTTTGCAACACATATTTATCATTGAAAAAATAGAAACAAATTTGCGTTTAAAACCAAACTAACTCTTCGACTCTTAATCGTTGAGACACTAGAACACAAATTGTCGTTGACAATCAAACTAATATCTGTCCGATATTATAACGATCGTGAATAATTTTGCAATAACTCACCTATACATCTAAACTATACTAAAGATAGCTTGAAAATTCCCGCTACAAAATGGTACAAAGCCAACTTCTCTAGGTATCATAATTAAAATGTGATACATGTTGACTGAGAGCCTATGATAATGCTTTTTCTCAATAGGATAATTTACGGATATGTATAAAAAGCACATTATTGATTTGAGCTATAAAGAAATCATCTTTTCATAGTACTACAGTTATTCAGTACATGTGTTTATACGTTCACCGTTATTGTTTTTATTGATGCTGCTTTTCTAGATAGGATCTTGATTGACAAAACTCATAATTAGAAAAGAAATCAACGACTATTAAAGACTGATTTTACTTGGCTGTGGCCATGTAAATAAATAAACGTATGATACACAAGGATCCATGGTCTTCTTTCTCATTAAATGGCATTTTCTCGTATACTACTGGTAACATTATAAGTTCTTTTTAGGCTTTTTTTTTACATTTCAATGAAACAATCTTGATGAATATATACAGTACTCTTATATCTACGTAATGGTGAAAATCACAGCACTCTAGCTCTTTTCGTTCTTGAGTTATTGCAAGACTGTTCACGATTATTATGATACGGAACAGACAGTAGTAAGAAGTTCTATTCCTGAAAATAAACAAATTCTAAAAAATATGATGAGAAAATCTGTTGACTTTCGCTAAGAAATGTTTGCTCAATATTCAAGAAACATTAACAAGACGTTCATACGATTGAGTGTTGGTTTTGTTATCTGTACAACAGCATTTGGTGTGCATGTACATGATCCCATTGAACAAAAAGTGAAAGTAGAAAAGATCTATTATAAAAAGCGTAACCTTACTAACTTAATGTCGACTTAGCTAAATATAACATACAAAAAATTTGTTATACTTCAAATCGAATATCTCATTGCGAGGTATACTAATCATCAATCATTTATTTATTTGATACAACAAATACAGTTGCCTATCCAATACAATTCTAATTCGAGCTACGACATCATAAAAAAGAGTACACATTAATAATCAATATGAAAACTTTTTTTTATCTCCCTAAAAATTGCATGTTGCCAAAATGCAGTGTCTCGTTTTTACTTTACATTATGATCATTTATAATGGTTTGTGAAGTAGAGTATACGTAACCATATATCAATAACGAAGCACATGCTTACACAATTTACGTATAAATATAAAAAATTACTCAACGAGTGTTATTTCTGATTTCACACTTCCCCAGGACCCTTATCGTAGTGATGTGTCAAGAAACAAGCCGGTAAACACAGTGTAGAACGCAAGAGAAAAATATTCTATCGTTTTTCTATTCCATTCGTCAGCCACTGTTAAGATTGTGCAATACAACATAACTACTACCCATTACAAAATATGTCGTCAGCTCTTTACAATATTCGTTGCTTATAAAAAGCAGAACGCAAAACATAATTTTCAAGCAACACAAAATGTCACGTCGAGCAAAACAAATTTTGGCTGCAGAAGCGCGAAAAGCAGCGGATGGAGATTCATTCGTACCAGTTCTTCTTCTATCTGAATTGGATGTTAGCAAATGTACTCAAATACGATTTCTAGAAATTCTAACCAATTTGGATGAACTTTGTGCTAGTCGATCGGTTGATCAACGAGCAACATATGTAGAACAAATTTATAATCGAATGCTTCAACTTTTATCTCAAAAGATAGAAATTCCATTGAATCGAATCATGGCAATTGTCAAACAGTTGATTGTATATCATCCAGTAATGGCAATTTTAACACTTGATGATTTAAAAAAAATTGGTGTTGAAATGGAAAAACGATCGGTAATCATTCATTTTGATATGAGTGGATCGATGGATGTACGAGGTTTTAATCCATTAGTTCAAACAGTCATTAATCTATGTAGAAAATTACAAAATCAAGGTATTCAAGTATATATATCTTTGTTTGGTGGCGGTCAACAAGAGAGAATACATACGGCTATCGGCGGTCAATTACTTACATTAGATCAATTTGCAAATGGAAATTATCGACCAAATGGTGGTACAGCTTTTTGTCCATCATTTGATCGAACAAAACAATTTCCTACTCCGTATGATGCAATCATTGTTTCTGATGGCGACTTTACTGACGATATTTCTCGGTTAGCTTTTCAAGAACAATGTCAGACTGTTTTCTTTGTTGCACCACCATGGTCTCCATTAGGTATTGAGGAGAAACATGCAAAAACAATTTCATCAAGTGTCCATTCAACTGTTCCCTATATCGGTATTGCTTCCGAGAAATATCCACAACTTGATACTATTATTGAAGGATTTCTACGTGAACATAATTTTTTTGCTCGTCTATCTGGATATGTTACTATTGGTACGTATGCTATTCCATCGAATCTTCTTGCACCAACACAAATGATACAAGTTTTAAACAATTGTATTGCTCAAGGTGAAATTCAATTGCAAATTTTAACAAAAAAAATTCTTGGTCTTTTTCGATATCTTGAAGAAACAGCTAAACTCAATTTTGAACGATGTATTCGAGGTGAAGAATTTCGAAATCTTATGTCATTAGTAACACCATTGATTAAGTCGACGCAAGCTCATTTGGAAACAAGTAATGCTTGTCAACAATTGTACGGATATTTAACCAAAATTTTGAATAATTTTGCACATGAACAACAAAAATTAATCAAAAGTATAGCTAATGATCCAAAAGCAAAGACAGAATTGACTAAATTTTGGGATGATGCAATGAGTTTTAGTGAAAGAGCATTGATTATTGAAGAAAATGAACGAAAATATGGACCATCAGTGGCCTATTTAAATGTACGAGTAGCTAGTTTGACTTGTACAAGTGAAATATTGTCCGAAGCATTACAACAATTGAAAACTCTATATTCACCAGAAGATTTTGATCTTCTATCAATCATTCTCGATATTTTATCAATGTCAAAAATAGACGATCAACCAACATCAGTTCCAGAAGATTTGTGCATTCTCATTTGGCGTAAACCAAATGGTACTATCGATCTACTATCTATTCTACGTCAACTACCATATTGTCTTCAACAATATCAATATTCACGACAAATTCCATTGGATAATGGTTGGACATTACAACCGTTGGCAGCTATTCGTTTGGCTTGGATAACGGAAGCATCAGGTCGAACATTTCCTGATTTTATCACACAAGCATTACCAAGTTTAGTCGTACCGAATAAATTTCTAACTGATCTAGATCAAGATGAAAATCGATCAGCATTTTGGATGAAAATTCTACGTGAACTTGCTCCAAAAATAGATCTTCCATCTGAAAGTCTACAATCAATTCATCAAATTCTTACTGTGCATACTTTGAAAGGTTTCTTACTTCGATTGACTGATGGTTCGATTACTTATGAGAAACAAGTTTATGAAAATGTTTTACCATTCATTGATACAGATGAACCTATGGCTTGGTGTGTCTTTGTCAATAAAGATTTAGATCGCGTCGATGCTCGTACAGGTCAAGTCATTGAACAATCAACATTTATTACAGATCCAATTGAAATCGAAGGATGGTATAGAACGAATCTTGTAAAGCGCGGTTCTGTAGTTCGACCACGATATTTATCTCTCCGCGAATATTCTAACTTTCCCGACGGTGCCATTGAACTCTACAATACTTGTACTCGAAAAGATGTTGATATTCTACGTGATCAATTGACAGAACTCGGTGGTAATTCTTATTCATCCGATCAAATCAATGCACACATCTATACAATTCGTGATCGACTCAAAACAATTCCATGTGTAGTTTGGGGATCGACTGATTTAATAACTGAGACGATAGTTATGGCCAAGGCTGCATGTCAAGGTGCTACTGTACCAACAGAAAAAGTTACAATAAACATTACCAGAGCAATTGTCATTGATTATTTAGTGTCACATTGTGAAGATCGCTTTGCTGCCGGAGCATTACGTGGATTTGGTGAATATGCACGCATAGCTAGTCAACAAGCATCGGCTGGCACCACGGAACTTGATTATGCTATTGAATGTGGACAAAAAGCTACAACAGAAACAACTTCTTTGCAAATTGTGCCATTCATTCATTTGGATAAACCTGGCGTTCGAGAATATCTAGAACAACAGTACAAGAAATTGGCACGGCAATTGCGTTTGGTTTTGAGTCCTCCACAATTTCAGAGTCTACCTACATTGCTACAAAAAGCACAACAAACAGTAGCCAATGATGAAATTTTAGGTATGGCCGATCTTGAATCGTTACCAACACGAACTACTACTGCAAAGCCAGTTGAAAGCTCGTCACAAGTTGTACTCAATAAAGATTTATTCACTTGTCCGATTACACTCGATATTATGGATAATCCTGCAACAACAACACCTTGTGGACACATGTTCGATATGGATGCTATCAACGAATATTTGAAGACAGCCAATATCTGTCCTATTTGCCGAACAGTAGTAACTGGTGTCACGCAGAATTATGCATTCAAAAATGTAATTGAAGCATGGTTGGCCCAACAAACGGAATAAACTTATGTCGATTGATATAAAATGTTGTTTTGTACGCATTGATTTTAAAACTGATTATAAAATATCTATTTGAGAACTAACTAATACTTATCTAAAGTGATTCTCACTTCTATCTTTACTCTCCATATTCTTGTCTAGAAAGAAAGTTTTCCAGAGGAATAATTGTCTAGTAATAACAAGAACATCTTGTTTTTGTTTCACAAGAAATTTTCTTAAAGAAACTATCTTATTCTAGCAGATCAATATCAGAATAATGTCTGCTCTTAAATTCAAAACGATCACTCTGTAAGAGACAATAGTTATGTTGGTGGACGAATTTCCTATATCTTCAATAATACAAACAAAACATATAGGATGGGGTGATGGTGTGAGTGTTGTTCTTTTCTTTATTCTCTTCCATTCATCTCCAGCTAACCAGCTTTCTTTAGTTGGATTTCCATAAACAAAGCTTCGAAAACGAAATGAAGACCGAAAACAGGTTGCTCTTTGTGCATTTGTTCTAATCGCCTTGAACGAAAAAGTAAAAAAGATTTGTTGAATAAGGGTGTAGGTTCCAATGTAGACGGAGTGTGGCTGTCGGTATTGTCTTCCATTCATCTACAACTACATTCACACCCTCAGCTTCAAATAACTTAAAAATTCATGCCTCAGAATCATTGCACTCAAAAATCCCAAGGTTTGACATAGAAACTAGTGTAATTGACACTTGAATGTTGACAAATTTTCAGATGAAAACTCGAAATCTCGATTTGCTTGTAAACATTAGGATTCTAGAGAGCAGAAATCATTAAAACTTTAATGTGTCAATCAGAGCTTAACAAAAGTACGAACTCTTTAGAAGTTATTCTTTTCTCGTAATTCTCTACTACTGAATAAACTATGAGTTCACAAGCTTTTAATCATCTGGGAATCCTCTCTCATAAGTGCTAACTTCGATAACCTCTTTCATCAAAGCTGTTTTTTCAATCTTGCCTTGCTTAACTTATACATTTGCTGGAAATATTTTTTTGAAATAGTAACTTCTATAGCCTATGTTGTCGAATTTATAACTTCGGTGATCGAGCTACTGACATATTCACAACATACATAAGACCACAATAAGAATACGGATGGATTAAACGCTGTAATTGTGTTTTTGAAAGTTTGCATTTTGTCTCCATGAAAATCTACCAACGTTCACGAACTTTGACATGATCTACACCATATCTTATCTGCACTTTCTGAAATAGATATTAAAGTTGATCGATTTTGAAGAAAAATATCGACATTCGATGACGTTTAATGAAAACTAGATCTTTGTATTTTTTCATCGAATGTCATCAAGCATCAACCTTTTTTTTTTCAAAAGTGATCATGCGAATATTGAACTGTAAATGATAAAAGAGAACAACAATATTGGATGTATCTCAAGTTATTGTTTGCATTTTATAATGAAATTCGATCGAAAATTAAAGTTTAATGCATGCCTACCTACGAATCAGTAGGTATCTTCACACGTCACACACTCTCTATTCTAAATAACGAATGCAGAGACTAAGAGTATCTAGATTCGCGACAAGAATATGTATGCAAATCAGATGATGAGCCTAATTCGTTTCGCGATATAGCCATAGCTCGTATAAAAGCGAAATACTTCGTGTCGCACTTATAACAGGTGAAAAAAAATACTGCACTATGTCGACTTTTCAAATACGAAGCATTACCCTATTTCTAATGATGACAGAATGAAGACGGGAATTCATCGACCTTATGCGATGATGCAAAAAGGAATAGTATACAATGTAATTACACATAACATGACATAGCAATTCACCTGAAAAACATCGAAAATAAAATGTCGAATAAAAACGTTGCACTGTTTAAGATTATGAAAGTTAGACATCGAAAGGAAATTTTGAAAGGACATGAAGAAAGATGACACTAACAGTCGATAACAAGATGTATACTTGTAATTAATGCTATTGGTCAGTTACACAACCGGTCATGAGAGTGGACAACGTTTTAACACATACAAAACTGAGCAAAAATAAATAAATAAACATATATTGTATGTATGCATTAGTAATAGATGTAAAATGTACGTTCATATAGATACAAATGATGCGTATCTGTGTGATAGAACTGGTCAATATGCTTATGAACCAAATCCTCAAATATTTAAAGTTAGGCAAATTCATCAGAAGTAAAAGAACGAGCTTTTAAATAATTAATACCTAATCATTTTAATACTAGGTAATTTAATTTTGTATTTTACCTTACTGTTGCACTATTTTTTCTCTAAAATATTATTTTTATAATTTTAACATTAAAATAAAGTCTTAATTCATAACACAACTACATTACCTTTTCTGTTGTTACTTCCATACATTACCTTTCGATATTTTTCTTTTTCACATTTTTTTTTCTTCCAACTTTTTTATATTGCTATCTTTTTATTTTCGTCATTTTACTTCCGACAACTTTACCTTCAATATTTTTATTTTCGAACAAATCCAGGTGTACTTCCACAGTCCAATGTGTTTGCATATGAATATTGAGTTGTACTCTCTTTTGACCTTTTGAAGAAATTTTTTGTTTCTTTCTTTCTGAAGCACGTGTCCAACACTGTATCGTGACTCATAACATTTATTTTTCTCTCCAACTAAACATTTGATTTCGTCGAGCAGCGTAGTTGCCACATACACTGAAATAGAATATTTTGTTGGAAAAAATCGAGTTACTGCGTGATATTATTTATCGACTTCCTATTTTGCCAGCAAGAATCAATTGAAAACACAACTACTCACAAGTGAGTATGAAACGAAATTGCTCTTAGTTTATGAGGCCCTGACTGTACTATGCGAGTTAGGACTGAATTAAGTATGGGATATGGGTGCAATAGTTCCATATTAGCTTAGATCTCAAGAACTGGTCAACCAGTTTCAGTTTTCGAGAGGTTTCTTACTGATGTTTTATTACATGCGATTCGTACAAACTCTGAAAAGATTCCGCTTGTCACGCTTAATAAAGTAAAATGATGGAGGTTGTAACTACATAGTTTTATTATATCGTCACTTGACCCTTAGTTACCTACATATTTCTCTGAAAGCTCAATATTCTAGGCCGTCATTTGGAGTTTTTGCAATACGATTCTCAGGATAGACACGTTTCTTTCTTTTTATGTTAGAAAGCTATTATGCAATGTACACTTTTACTTCCGATTCAAAACAGTTATACCCAAAACTTTACATCAACTGAATGAAATCAACAATAGAAGTGCTTAATGTACGAACACTTTCCGACGCAAAAAAGCACGTTGTTTGTGAGAAAAATATTTTCAATGCTCCGCATGACACTTTTATGTGCTGAGTGCTTGTGCAAATATGGAGGCAACTAAGAATCATTTTACAACAAAGGTGAAAGTGCTTATCACGACGTCTTCTTTACAGGTGACACCTAAGGCCATGCAGAGCAAGGTTTTTTGCCAGAAGCTCGTTAAGTTTTATTCACGTTGTTCTGATCCAGATTCTGTTCTTCCATATAAATAACAATCTTATACATGAGATTTCTAAATTAAGGTGATATGAAAGCAAAACTTTAGATCACCCTTTTATAATATGCTAGTTCATTTTTACAGACAAAAGAAAAACATCTTTATTTGAAATTACCGAGGAACTACCAGAACTTATTTGTTTTTTTTGAGATGTAGTTTTTCTACAGAATTTATTAAGTGTGTTAATATTTCAGCGCACCTATAATGCAGGTATGCATGGATGTACTGAGACATTGTGTGGGATTTATCTCAAAATGTTTTGGGAGTTATTGAAAAAATTCAATGCATCAAAAGAAAAATAAGTCTCGGTACCTACTGATATACATTTTTTCTCTTAGTCTCAGTTGATTTTTAGTGTGCATCATGTTATCTGTCTGATTTTTGCATATTCATACTATTTTCAATTCTCACATAGACATTGTTCGGAGACACTCAAATCCAGATTTTGATCGCTTTCTTTCAGATAATTGAGATTTCTCGACCAATTAATTTGAACATGAATTATTCTCTCAATTTCATGACAATCTTGCTGAACTTAGACTTCAATATGTTCGACTGACTTAAATCTCGTAATTCAGCAAGGATGTTAGCGGATTAAGAGAGCAATTCACATCCAGATCAGTTGATTTATGTGATAACATCCATATAGAAAAAATCAAATAGAGCACATTACATTCATCAAAAGCCAAGTTTGAGTCAGAAAAGCAGTAAAATATAATAAAATTAGATAAAAATATTCGCAATAAAAGGCTTGATTAAGATTTCAAGTGATCATGTGTAAACATTCCAGTAGCAAGCGTTTGAACTATCGATTACCATACAAAATTGGTTCGTAACTAAATGCAATTTTTTGAAACTAGGTAGATAATAAGTCGATTTTTCTGGAATGCATTTCCATGTCATTTTCGTTATTGACTGGGTTAGAGACTTACGTGTTTATTCTATTTGATTTCAAGCCATTTTTGAGACAAAGTATTGCAAATAAGTTTTAATTTTATAAATTTGATAATTCGGTCCTTATCACGAAACTACATCATCTATTGTTTAGCTCCAAACCTATCTCAGTTCCTAACATGAGTGACCTGAATTTGTTCCACATGATTCTAGCAAATGGCTATCATAGGTCGAAAGCTTTAGACTGTCGATTATTTTTTCTGCGCATTGCATTTAATCATATAACAGCAAAAGAACCCTTCAGCAACGAAAACTAGAAACTAGGTATGACCGAGTAAATCAGACGAGCTATAAACTGATTCTTCTGAATTGGAATTATTACAGTCCTAGTAGGACAATTTGTAAGGAAAAAACACGAAAGAATATAGCAAAAAATGAAAAAGCAAATTATATGCATAAGTACTGTACTCTTGCTTTTCTTGATAGTCCTGATATCATATCAACGAATCGAATATTGTAGGATTGTGCGCAAATCAAAACACTTCTATATTCAATTTTATAACAACTACAGTTT